CTCGGGGGCCACCCCCGAGGCCAAGAAGGGCTCCACCGGCCACAAGTGCCAGCAACAACAGCAGCCGTGTCAACAACAGCAACAGCAGCCGTTGCAGGAGAAGCAACAGGACAAGTCGCTGCAGCAGCATCAGCAGCAACAGCAATTGCAGGCGAAGAAAAAGGTGCCCGTGGTGCAGGCGAGTGAGCTGGCGCCTTTGAGCAACCTCGACGAGGACCTCGACGACCTGGACGACGAGAAGGCCGTCGAACTGATTAGAACGGAGGATGAGGAGCTCGGGAAGGAGGGGGGGACGCAGCATCGCCTAAGCCCTAGGCTGCACGACATTGAGGAGGAGGATGACGAGGAAGGCCGCAACACTAAAGAGAGGTCAGTGGATTGTTACTGAATTTCCTTTTTGATAAATTACTGCCAGTATACTTTGCTCTTCGTGCGATCCTCTTTTTGGGACATTTATTTAATCACTTGGTGGTTGATGATTGAGATTCATCAGGCAACCTTACTGAAGTTGTTATTATATATTATAGGAAGTGAACTAGGGGTGTCTTAATTTAAGTGTACTAGTTAATACGTTGACTATAGATGATCACTGAAGCTTTCAAATTACTTGACAGTAATTATCATTTTCAGTTAATTAATGCAAATTTTCCATAGCGTAAATTATTAGATAACAGTGTAAGCATTGCGATATCAAATGAGTAACTCCTCTTTACGCTTGCTACAAAAGAATTATTAATTATTTATTATTATTAATTAATTTATGCGATATATAAAGCTCTAAGCTCTTCGTGGCAATTTGATAAAGGATGGATATATGCAAATGAGGAAGGTAGACTGTGTTGGGGCATCTTCGCAGTTGAAGCTATGGCAGAATAGCCAAGAGTACAAATAGATTTTTGATTAACCGAGGTAGTTGAAAGCTGGCGGAATCCCATTCAGCTCTCAATAATTGATAAACTTGCTGGACGGCGAGCTCGCCATTTACTTTGATACGAAAACTTCTCTGAAGTGCTCCGGAGACGTTTAAGACAACTATTGCAGAGATGATTGCCTTTATTTCGACGAACTTTCCTTTGGGTTCACACACGCCTCCAAGCGACTTCTCGGTATTTCTATTCCCTCGGAAGTCCACTGGAGAAAGGAAATACTGTCCTGGGTATTTTCATCCCTGTTGTTAGGTCATTTGACACTTCGATTACGGGATGTTCAACTATTTCATGGAAACGTACAGCCAACCTGTTTTTAGTAGCCGTCAATAGTAAGCTTCATAGCTTCAGCAGAAAACATAACCTAAAAATACTAGCATACTTTCCTTTCACTGTTATTCTTGTTAATATTCCTCGTAAAAAATAAACTTTCCTAGTAGAATTGCCTCTTCTATTCAGCTGTATTATTACTTTAACGATAGGAGCAATATTTCACTTTCCAACTTTAGTACTGTTTAACACAAGTGACATGTCAGTCGTCAAACTGACGTTTCTGAGTTACTTGAAAATAATCGTAACATGCAAGATAATCGAATCAAAATGTTAATAAGTTGATAATGGTGTAATGCAAAGATTGCAACGCCAAATAGTGAATAATTGTTGCTAGTTTTCTTTGATAAAATGGACAACTGTACGGAAAAATGGTGAAGATTGACCCCGTTTTCTATAACATCGAGCTAGACTCGTGATGAAAATTTACAATCGAATTCGACAAATTGAAGTGTCACTCATATAGTTTTCATATAAACGAAATGTCACTTGTCTATTATCAATCTTTAATTTTTCGAGTAGACGTAGATACAGAATAAATGTCAAATTCGTCTCTGGTTTTACTACTTAACCCTCTATAAGCCCGTGTAACTTTGAAGTCACACATCAATAGACTAGGTTAAATTGATTTATTTAACTTTTTATTGCAAACTGACGGATGACATTAAATGATTAATCAACTTGAACTTTTATACACGCAGGCGTTTACGTTCAACGTCATTGTAACTTCGAAGTTACAAAATATATTCGTTTTAATAAAACTATTAAAACTATTGAATACATTTTTAATTTGTGTGCATACGTTGATATTTATTAATTTCATACTGCGTAAATTTTGTTATAATCACGAAACAAAATTCGGCCTATGGAGGGTTAAAGTACATTCCTTGAAGCAGATTTATAAAGAAATCATAGGACAAGGGGTTAAGAAAAAATTGTTTATCAAAGATAAAAACTAATTATCATCCTCCACGTGGATTCTCAAAATCTACACTCTCTGGCGCCAGGAGAAAAATTCGCTGTACCAAATGACCCTCTCGCTGTCAAAAACACAGACGCCTAATATCACGAGCGAAATGCTCAACTTCGCTGAAGCTGCTTTCTGGGGTGCATCGATAAAATGGGATGCAAGTTCAAAGAAGTTCGGTCCCAGGATGTCTGACTTGACGGGCGACGTTCCCCGAGGCTTGTTTTCGGCGATTCCGCGATGTACCACCCTCCTTCTCGTCTCATTTGCTACCCCGTTCCAACCCCTTGCTCCATAGTCATGCAGTTCGATAGCAATAAAGGGGGCTGCGTGCAGGCATGCCTTGAAAATGGATGAGAAAATGGAGCGTGTCGAATTACTAGAGGATGAAAGACTCGGTCCGCAGGGAGGGGGCGAATGATGAATGGATACCACCTTATGTTCGACCCTTAAATTAGATCAGGCCACATAAAAATGTCGGGGCGCCGAAGAATCGTCACGGGGTGCGAACTTCATCCCCCAACGTGTTTCAGGGGACTGCCTATTTCTTTGACGTTAATGTATATTTATCATGTGGGTTATTCATTACTTGACAGAAATTCCTAACTTTAGATTTTGTGCGAAGGAAAACGGGGGTGGTTTTGTTCTTTCGTGAAAAAAATTGGGTGCTTGAATTATGGTGAGATTTCTTGGGGGTTGATTGTTAGTAGGCTGTTTCTTTATATATTTGTGTTGTTTATGGGTGTATATTCACTTTGGTTAGGTTGATATGGTTATTTAATGCAGTCAGTAGTATGGATCAATATTAAGGTTTCACTGAATTTTGGGTGAAGTATTGTCGAAGTTTGAGATATCGTAATTTCGTTAAAAAAATGGTAGAGGGTTGTAGTTGGGCTACTTTTAAAGGGTGAAGCTTCTAGTTTTACGTGTTATGTTACTTTTTTCTGGAGATTGTGTAATATATAGATTTAGGTCGAAAATTAAGGGTGAAGTTTTCGTTCGAAGTGCCGCAGCTTCTGAGGACTGTATGAATTATAAAAATTTTTCTTCGAAACTCAAATTACAATATACTTGAAGACTAAAGTTTCCCCTTTACAGCCACACCATAAATTTCGACGTGCGATTTTTCCTTGCCGTTTTATCGCACTCTGAATGACACGCGTGCCGCCAGCATCGTAATCACCTATATGCAGGGGGTTGCTGGTGATGCCCATTCGAGGAGTAATAAAACGGCAAGAAAAAATCGTACGTCAAGTTTTATGGGGTCGTTGTAAAGGGGAGACTTCAGTCTTTGGAATCATGGTGATTCAAATCGTGACGAAAATTTTTTACACTTCAGACAGCAGGAGATAGGTTTCGAAATTTTATAGAAGAAACTATCTTCACTTTTCTGCCCATATATTAACAATAAAACAATCTCAGGTGAAATAGAATTTCGGATATTAAAACTAGAAGCTACAGTCGTTAAAATGAGCTCAAGAACATTATCCTAAGATTTTTTTTCTCGAAGTTACAGTAATTTAAATATAAACAACCCCTTACTTAAGATATAGTAATTATTGAACCTTGACCTTTAGTATACTATAATTAATATTATATTATATTTCTTACATTATTATATTATTGTGTTATCATTCAAACAAATTAGTGAAAAATCAAGTCACCATCCCAAACCGTCACAAAATAAAACAATCAAATTCATATTAACCACACACCCTTGTTATTCCCATAAAACTAAAATAGCCTGCGCAAATCCCACCAGAGCCACATATACACTTCCAAAACAGTGGAACACCACGTAGATTCCTTTGACTGCTCCCCCACCATAGAACATCGTATCCGATGAATTATTTAGAGTAGAGAAGTCTCGCAGCCCAGTGAATTTATATTCGAGGGGATGAAAAGGATTTCAGAATTCGATGGGTGTACCGGCGGGTCCAGAAATTGTTTCTTCCCAGCTGAAATTTCTTTCCCCGAAATCCGTTATGTAATGCACGAACGAGGAGGTAAACAGAGCAAGACAAACAACGCAGAAATTAAAAAAAGAACGAAAGGAACAGAAGTTCCGAGGGATACGTTCCGCCCGGAGAATATCATTCCTGAATATTACAAGACGCACTTCGAATAAAAACACGAGAGGAAACGAGTTTCCTTTCTGAATATATTCCGAACTTCCGGAAACCTCTGCGGCAATTGCGGATTGATCCGCTGTCGATTATGCAAAGTGCACGCTTGAAAGGATCGGGACAGCTGCGAATGGAATGAAAAATATAAATCCTGATTCTTCGCTGGGATTATACGAATCGAGATATTTCACCGGCGAGGGAAGGAAAATAATCCTTGAATTAATTTCGTAATCTGTAACTCGGTGTAGACGTAATCCGGTCTGATGTTAACATGCGGCGTCCTCGCGTAGACGTAAGCCAGCTTACCGTAGACAGCTCCGCCTGGCCTCGTACCGCAGCCTAATTTCGAACCTGATTCGGGCCTAA